ACCTCCGGCTTTGCCCCTGAGATAAAGCCTGTGTGTACACAGTTGCTGGCTGGATTCTTCTCTCACCTCAGCCCACAGTTGCCTTGAGGGGAGCCCTGTTACTTCACTTTGGGGGAACCCTGTTACTTCAAACAGGCGTGGCACTGTGGGGCTTCCACTCTTGGCTTTTGGGTATGGGGTGAAGGGCAGTAGGTGGAAAGATGATGTCAGTCTTTTGGAACCAGATGTTTTCAGGGAGTCTCCAGTCTTCCCACCTACTAGAGGGCTCACCCCAAGCATGCCCGGTCCTCTCCTCTCCTCTTTCCCACTCACTGGCCTAGGAGGGACAACCAGAGGGAGTACGCCGGAATCTTAGGGGTCCTCCAGGACCAGAAGCAAGAGTTCTGGAAGGCTCCAGGTGGGTTTTCCTGTGGGATGACCCTTTCTGAAGGGAGGAGCAGGGTCCCTTGCGGGAGGGACATGAGGCTTGTGGACAAACGGGGGGGCAAATGCATGTTTTGGGGGTGTCACTTTTCTTCCCTGTGGGTCAGGTTGAGGGCGCTGTGCTGAGGCGGAGTTGGCAGAGGGGAGGGTGTGGGACTTGGCTGCGCTGGCTTCCCCGGGCCTGCTGCAGCCTGCCTGCCTCCGGCCCCTGCCCATGGGAGGTGGGGCAGGTAACCTGGGGAGGTGTGGGTAGAACAAGGGTGTGGATTACACTTGAATGTGGAGAAAGTTTAAAGAAGAAGAAACGGATTTTTCTTCCTTTTCCTGCCCTTGGCTTCTTAAAAAAGGTATATATCTTCATTTCTTAGACATATCAGAAAGAATGGTCTTTGGGGACATTGTCAGAGAGCTTCACAGTGTAGAACTTGAGATAGTGGTCTACCTCCTTCCTCTCCCTCCACTCATCCTTCCTTTCCTCCCTCCCTCCCTGCCTGCCTGCCTTCTTGCTATTTGTGATTCTGAGGATTAAGTCTAGGGCCTTGCACACACCAGGGAAGCTGCTCTGCCACTTGAGCATTCCTCTTAATTAATTAATTAATTATTTTTTTTTTTTTGTGAGACTGGGTATCACTGCTACCTTCTGCCAAGGCTGGTATCATAACTAGTGATCCTCTTGCTCCACCTGTCATGTAGCTGGGATTATAGGTATGCACCCCCTTGCCTGGGTAGAGGTATAAAGTTTTCTAGAACTCTGATTTATGGGTTCAAAACTGATTGGGTCATCGGAAGACAGAAGAGGTCTCATCTGGGGCTGTGTAGGGGACCTGGAGATAAGATGGTGTAGACTTGAGTGTTGGGCAGCTGTCCACACAATCCATTCCTTCCCTAGCAGCCTCATGCTCTTGTAGGGTATTTTTGTTCAAGGTTGCCTCTCTGCCACTTGAGGCATAATTCCACTTCCTGCTTTTTGCTGGTTAATAGCAAATAATGGCTGTTTGGAGGTAAATGTCTCATGTTTTCTGCCTCGACTGGCTCTGAATCATGATCTTCGGATCTCAGCTCCCTGAGTTGCTAGGATTACAGGTATGAGCCACCAGCGCCTGGCAGCAGCTAATATCTTCCAAGTTGAGTTTGAGCAATCAGATTGTCATCCTGGTTTGGGATTGGGTTTTGCAACATGTGTGATGCTCACTGGGTGGGAAGGAGAGCTTGTCCATGCCCAGGAAACATGTGGGTAGCATTGTGTCTGTGAGAATGTGAGCTATACACAGGGTAGGGGTCCAAATGAGCCTCTAGGAGCTGGAGCACACTCAAATGGAGCAGGATGTTAGAATCTTCTCTGTCACCATCTGGTGGCCTTCTTGATAATCCACACTTGGAACCCTGCTTTGCAGTACTTGCTCTTCCATTTGTTCTTTTATCTCCCCCTTGCCCTTTCCTTGGCCTCTCTTTTTTTGGGGGCCGGGACTGTTTCTTTTCTTTTATTACCTGAGAAATTCAGTCTGATCCTGAGAATCCTTTCCTTTCTCCTTTCTGCGTCCCCATGCTGTGACTCTTCACTTGGGATCTATGTTTTACCATGTTCTGAAAGGAGAGTGAGTGGCCACAGGTCACACAGCAGGTATACAAACAGCCATCTCAGTCAGCCCTTTTCACGGTCTTGTTGGAGGCCCCAGTCTTTCAGGTCTTCCTATAACCTATGCCGAACCCAAGCCATTGACCAGGAGCTGTGACTAATCTTTGCTAGTGGCCCTGGCTGATGCAAAATCCATCAGGGAGGCAGTGGCCGGGAAACCATGACCATGCCATAGGAAGGCAGTTCTGGTCCAGCTCCCCACTTATTACTGCTGTGGCCTCCAGTTGTGCATCTGTAAGGTGGGGATCGTAGTAGTGTTAACAGGGTGGGTGACTTGCCATGTATAGAGATAGCACTGAGAATCTTTGAGCAGGCAGCCAGTCTCTTTAGCCTCAGAAAGATTCAGCAGCAACTGTACTTGCAAACTGTGAGCAAGTGTTTGCAGGTGGGTAGCTGTGTTCAACCAGAGATAACTTCTCCAAGCAAAGAGGTACTTTAATTTTAGGCTTTTAATTTCTCTTTGGAGCCCCCATGCAGTGGGGTCACCAAATCGTGGCCCTCAGAAGTGTACTTTTAAGAGAATAATCTTGCTGATAGCATGCATGGGCCAGGGTTAAGGCTGTGACGAATCCTTTGCTTTAAGGCGGTGACCTGGCTAGCTGGGAAATCCATTTGGGAGTTGGGCCTTTTCCATTTAGCCTCCCCACAGGAGCTGACTGACCTCAGGGCTAATCTGGGAAAGGTCTTAGGTCTAAGTGCCTGCCCCATTGTTCCAGCTGGGACTGTTGGGGCTGGGCTGGGCTGGGGCCTGACTGTGCAACTGCTTTAAAGGCCTGCAGGGCACCTCAGGGAGAGGGTCACGCAGGGAGGTTGGTCCAAGCTTGGGCCTTTGTGCCTTTGTGTGGGAATGCCATGGTGTCCTGCTGCTGGTGTAGCTGATTCCTGTAGAGGCTCTTTGGAACAGGGAGGTGGTGGTGGCCCCAACAAGCAGTGCTGCCTTTCCTGGGATCCCCTCTGAGATCTACCAACACCATCCTAGGGTACCTCTCTGAGCCCTCATCTGCCATGTAAGGGCTTATATAGACACCTTGGAGGTGACCCATGTGCCCCCCCCTCCCCCTTCCCCAACCAGCAGAGACAAGAGCTGTCCCTGCTAGGTTGGGTAGCTGGCAAGTAGGTCTGGACAAAAGCATCGATTTGTTCACCATTGCTCTTCTCTTGTCAAAGTCAGCCTTTATGGCCCCTGCCTGTAAGTGACTGGCAGCCCAGGGTGGATGGTCTTAAACTAGCGCAGTATCTCGTAGTGAGCACTCCAGAAGGGAAAACCTGGGAGGGTCAACTAGTGAACCATGTTCGGAAGGTTCCTAGAGGTAGGTCATGGCCAATCTGAGATTTGGCATGGAGTTGGTGAGGAGGAAATAATGCTGTGGTAGAGAGGACAATATTTGCAAAAGTCAGAGTCCAGAGAGGCTGTCTTCCAGGTGGAAGCAGAGACAAAAAAAAAAAAAAAACCAGGAGGCAGGTACCAAGAGGACTGGAATGATGCCACTTTGTAGCTAGCCTCCTCCTAGCTCAGGCCCCTGTCCCTTGGCCTTGTCTGGTCAGGTAGCTTCTGAGCTATAGGCTGGGTTAGGAGACTTGGATCAGCAGAGGTGAGGGAGGTGCTTTGGAGCTTTCTTTCCCCTGTGGAAATAACAGTCAAGTGAGCATTATGGAAAGTGGTGCTGGTGAGTTGTGGCTTTGGGTGTCCTGTCTGTCCCTCAAAACACAATCAGAAATAGGCTCTTGTCCACTGTCCCCTTTGAAGCTGCCCATGGGCCTACCTAGGAGTTGTACTATCACTTTAGGGAATAAAGTTCACCTGAGGCTGTGTTTGCCTCACCTGGGTGCAGTTTCCTGTCCTCTGTGCTGCACTGACCCAGCCATGCTGAGGGGAGTTTGTGGAGACTCAGTGGTGGCTCAGCCCTGGGGAATTTCCTGGTTTGGTTGAGTCAGGTTCTTGCCTATACCAGGTGCTGGGTGTGGAGTAGAGGAAAGGTGGTCACTCTCTCCTCCCTCTTTCTCATCAGTATCCACAAAGTTTCAGTTATATACTAAAGCCACAGATGTCCTGAGAGTTTGCAGTCCTAGGCAGAAAATTACCCAGTCCTGTGTGTATTAACACTTTTGTCCTTATGTGTTGGCCCTGGTACAGGCCTGACAGCAGTCCTGGGCAGAGTATTATCCACTGGATTATGTGTTGTCTTAATAGTGTCCCTATCTGGTGACCCTGAACAGGCCTGACAAGCAGGTACTTGAGATGTGCTGCCGCCGCCGCCTCCCCCTCCTCCCCCTCCTCCCCCCCTCCTCTTCTTGTTTCTTCCTTTTCTTCTTTTAGGGCTGTTACTGGGGTTTCAACTCAGGACTTCATGCTTGTTCAGCTGGCACTTGAGCTCCATCTCCAGCCCAGCTTTTTGCTGGTTATTTTGGTGATGGTGTTTCATGGATTTTTCTACTCCAGGTAGTTTCAAACCATGATTCTCAGATCATGGTTTGATCCTGAGTAGCTAGGATTACAGGTATGAACTACTAGCTCCTGGTTTAGTTTTTTTTTTTTTTGGTCTGGTCATGGGGCCTGAACTCCGAGCCTGGGCGCTGTCCCTCAGCTCTTCAGCTCAAGGCTAGTGCACTACCACTTGAGCCACAGCACCACTTCCGGCTTTTTTTCTTTTTGCTTATGTGGTGCTGAGGAATCGAACCCAGGGCCTCAGGCATGCAAGGCAAGTGCTCTACCACTGAGCCATCTTCCCAGCCCTAGTTTTTGTTTTTAAACTGTGGTAAAATACATCTAATGAAAAGCTTGCCATCCTGACCATGCTGAAATGTAATTCAGTGACAATAAACTGACCTGTGCAGTAAGAAAACCTCCCATGCCACCCTCCCCCACTCCAGGCAACCTACTTTCTGCTTTCTGATTTCTGTGGGGACTCAAGTGGACACACATCTATCTGTTTTACTCCAGAATCTCCCTGAAGTGCCCCCACCAGGCAGCAATGCCAGGATGCCCGTCTCTGCCACCCTTCACCCAGATGGCAGCCAGGAGCGGCCATTGAGCCTGATGTCCACCACCTCCTCTGGCTCCTCCCGTGACAGCCACAGCACCATGGAGGAGCCCACCGGCCCTGAGGCTTCTGCCCAGAATGGGGTGGGCTCCCCATGTGGCCGTCATTCCCCCAACATCAACAACAACTCCAGCAGCTGGATGAACGGGAAGGGGTCCCTGTCTCCATTCAACAGCCGGGCAGCGGGACCTGTCCACAAGCTCAGCTACTTGGGCCGAGTGGTGCGGGAGATTGTGGAAACGGAGCGCATGTATGTGCAGGACCTGCGCAGCATCGTGGAGGTGCGTGCTGAGGCCAGGGAGGAAGTGTCATCTCCTTCTAGGGTGAGGGACACTGGTCTCCAGTGGTCCATCCCTGGGAGGAGCCCCATCCTATACTGGGATGGAAAATTTACTCCTCTAGAGCATCAGCTCTAGAGGAGGCCCCAGGCTTCTGCCCTGGGGAGACCATTCACTTCTGCTTCCTTTATGATGTTGAGCTATAGGAGTAGCCTGGGGTGAGGGGAACTTCCTGTAAGTGCACAGGAAGTGGACACTGTGAAGGGGATCTGAGGGACCCCAGCCTAACTGGGATGACCACTGTGCTCTGCAGAAATGGAATCCAGGCCGTCCCAGTGATCCTTACTCTGCTGTTGCCTGGCTCTGGGGTCTGTCTTGGGCATCAAGTGATTACCTGAGCCCACCCACCATTCTTCCACCATTCTGTAAAGCCAAGGGCAACACCTGACTCTCAGGTGTGGCATAGGGGAAGTGTTTCATACCAGTCAGGGCACAAGCACCGTTGGTGTTAATCTCTGTGGCTTCTCCTCTTTTAAGGAAATCAGTCATTGGACTTGAAGCCCTCCTAAAATGTTAATTTTGTGGGGAGGCGTTACTAGGGTTTTGCATATGCTAGGCAAGCACTCTAACACTTGAGCCACATCACCAACCCTTTTGTCTTTATTTAATTTTTGAGACAGGGTCTTGATAGCTTTGTCTCTTACCTCCACAGACTAAACAGCTGGGATTATTAATTTGTACCACTATACCCAGCTTTTTTTTTTGAGTGCTGGTACTGGGGCTTGAACTCAGAGCCGCATACTCTTCCTTGGCTTTTTCATTCAAGTCTGGTGCTCTACCATTTGAGCCACAGCTATCCTTCTGGCTTTTTTTTGCCTGTTAATTGGAAATAACAGTCTCACAGATGTTTCTGTATAGCTGGCTTTAAACAGAAATTCTCAGCTCTCAGCCTTCTGAGAGTTAGGATCATTAGCTATGTGTCACCAATGCCTGGCATACCCACTTTTTTAAAATGTTGTGATCTTAAGAGTGTTAATTAGTGACATTTGTAAGGACCCTATTTCCAAATAAGATTACTTTTTGAGTGCCAAGTGGCCATGAATTTGGGGGTAGATAATTATCCAGTCCCAGTGAGTGCTGTCTATGAAGTTGTTGATGGCTATAAAATCAGTGCAGAATTGAGGTGTGACTAAGGGAGGTAGTTGGGCAAGATGGAGCCAGGAGTGACCAGGTCCTGATTGCCTCTCTCCATGCAGGACTACCTCTTGAAGATCATTGACACCCCTGGGCTGTTGAAACCAGAGCAAGTCAGTGCCCTCTTCGGGAACATAGAGAGCATCTATGCGCTGAACAGGTATGTGAGTGGGGGTGACATCATGCTCTCAGGCAGCACCTCAGGGTCAGGGGAATGTCCCCGGACTCATGGGGCTATGACATGTGGGCCTGAGACCTGATCTCTGAGGATGGGGAATAGAGGTCCACCCCTGCACAAGGGCATAGTTAGCTCTGTGCTGCAGAGAGGATGCCAACTGGGAGAATGTGCCCTGGGCTGATGCACTTTCTAGAGATAATCTGAAGTCACGTGCTCTGGTATCCAGCAAGCTTGGTCAACACCTGCTTCCACACTATTATTCTTCCTTTTGGGCGGCTATGTTGTCCTTTTCATCGCTGTTTTGTGTGCTGGTTCTGGGGCTTGAACTCAGGACCTGGGTACTGTCCCTGGCCTTTTTTGCTCAAGGCTAGTTAGTGTTACACCACAGGAGCCACAGCCCTGTTTCTGGCTTTTTTGGTGCTTCATTGGATATAAGAATCACACAACCTTTGTTGCCCAGGCTGGCTTTGAAATGTGAACCTCAGCTCTCAGCTTCTGAGTAACTAGAATTACAGGCGTGAGCCATCAGCGCTTAGCCTGTTCTTCTCATCATCGTCCTCTACTTGCAAGTCTCATAATTCATCCTCTTTTTCCCACTGATCCCAAGGGAGATCAGGCTCCCTAGAGATGATCTGACCTGTTAGTGGAATGCAGGACCTGGTGAGGCTGAATAAGGCCTGGTGAGGCTATCTTAGGACCAGCTAAGGGGGCTCTGTGAGGGCTTGAATCTGCTGCTGTAGGACCACAGACCCTCAGGGGAAGGGTCCTGTCGCGTGCTGGGGCAATGGTGTTGATAGGCTGAGGCCCCCTTCCCCCTAGATGACTTAAAGTGGGCAGAAGAAATTCTGCAGATAGAGAAGTCTAGGAGAGCAGGATCCAAGTATGACTTAGGAAGAGGGGTGGGGTCGGGGGGTAGGGCTGGGAAAAGCTAAGGAGCATAGGTAGAGGAGACAGGGGACTCTATTTCTGGGATTTCTTATGGTGTTTCATCTCAGATCAGGGTTCCAGGCTCACCCCTTCTCTCCATACTTCTTCTTTCCCATCCAGAAGGCTGCTTTTTGCTAGTCCCCTCTCTCCTTCCCTCTTTAATCTCTGCTTTTGTATGTTTGACTCCTTCTGCCCGCAGAGGAGCCGTGTCCCCTCCTGAGGTGCGTATTGCTGTGCTCTCTTGCTCCTTTGCTTGTTGAGCATGTGTGTATTCTGAGCTTCCTGTATGGTGGACTGGCTGCTTTGTGTGGTTAATGCCTGGGACAGGGCTTATTCAGAGGGTGGGAGCCCCAGCTGTTAGCATGACCCCAGCACTAAATGTGAGTGTAGGTCTGAGGAGGTGGGCAGGGGGCATGTCACTGCTGAGGAGGCTGCTGAGATTGATCTCTGATGGCTGCTTTCCCTCTCACCCAGCCAACTACTAAGAGACCTGGACAGCTGCAATAGTGACCCAGTGGCTGTGGCCAGCTGCTTTGTGGAGAGGGTAAGAAGGGTTGGGTCATTACCTCTTGTCCTGCCTTGTTGGGCATTCAAAGGGATAAGCATATCCAACCTGAGAAGAATTCTGAGTCCTGGGGGTCCCCCTTCAGAAGAAAGGCTGTGTGCTGTGCGTTGAGTAGGGTGGAGCTAGGGGCCGGGTGAATGAATTGCTCTAGACAAATGGGTACAAAGATGGCTCTGCAGGCACTTGAGGGAAGGGAGGACAGAGCATGCTCAGGGACCAGACACCTGTCTTTGGTCCTATTAGGCTTTTATTCAAATGAGAAACTCCCTGAAGTCACCATTTTTGGTCTCTCTTTAGAGCCAAGAGTTTGATATCTACACTCAGTATTGCAACAACTACCCAAAGTGAGTAATTGGGGTGGAGAGGGGGAGGCTGAGCTACTTGATGAGTCTGGGCCCCTGCCCCTTCCCCAGGCCTTCCCCAGGTGGCGACAACTTCATTATCCCACTCCCATCTCCCTACTCCCAGCTCCGTGGCCGCCCTGACGGAATGTATGCAGGACAAGCAGCAGGCCAAGTTCTTCCGGGACCGGCAGGAGCTGCTGCAGCACTCGCTGCCCTTGGGCTCCTACCTGCTGAAGCCAGTCCAGCGCATCCTCAAGTACCACCTGCTGCTCCAGGTAGCCAGGGGGGGTCCTTCCCCAGGACTGGGGGATTGGGGATGGGGGACAGAGCCCTTGAGCTGGTGTTGCCTAAATCCCGTTCCCTATATAGGAAATTGCCAAACATTTTGATGAGGAAGAGGATGGCTTTGAAGTGGTGGAAGATGCCATCGACACCATGACCTGTGTGGCTTGGTACATCAATGACATGAAGAGGAGACATGAGCATGCAGTCCGGCTCCAGGTACTCTGGGCTGGGAGGCTGGGGAGACATAGGTGGGTAGGTCCGTGGGGCTTTTGGGAAAGGGACCGTGGACACCCTGCTGGGCTGACCCAAGGAGGTGTTTGGGAGCTGTTGGGAGCCTTTGGAGCCAGTCTGCATAGGCCTCCTGGATCCCACGAGGCCTAACCCTGGGCCTGGGGGCTTCTATTGCAGGAGATTCAATCGCTGCTCATCAACTGGAAAGGGCCAGACCTAACCACCTATGGGGAGCTTGTCTTAGAGGGCACGTTCCGTGTGCACCGAGTGCGAAATGAGAGAACTTTCTTCCTGTTTGACAAAATACTGCTCATCACCAAGAAGCGGGGCGATCACTTTGTCTACAAGGGTCACATCCCGGTAACCAGGCCATCCCGCCTCCTTTGCTGCCTTCTCTCCTTCCTTAAAGACCTTGACCCCTCCACTTCTTGCCTGCTCATCTGGCTCCAGTGCTAGCCTTCTGAGAGAGGGTTGGAGGCCCCCTTCTTCCCTGACCGCTTTGTCCTCTGCCCCACAGTGCTCCTCACTGATGCTGATCGAAAGCACCAGGGATTCCCTGTGCTTCACCGTCACCCACTACAAGCACAGCAAGCAGCAGTACAGTATCCAGGTGAGGGGCTGAGGTACAGGGGCTGGGGTCAGGGCAAAATTTCCAAGCACACCTGCATGTGATTCCTGATTCCCTAGCTGCCTTGAACCTTAGGATTTCTCCCTGTAAAGCAGTGATCATCACAGGCACCTCTGAGGGTTGTAAAGAACCAAGGCAACCTTGTAGACTCCAGCATAGCCCCTCTTTTCCATTTCTTCCTCTGGGTCCCAGTGCTAGTGATGCCGCATAGCTTCTGCCTATAATAATAACCCTGGGTTATTAATAATAACCTGTGATAATAACCTTGGGTCCCTTTCTCTTGGGTCTTCCCAGGCCAAGTCAGCAGAGGAGAAACGAAGCTGGACTCATCACATCAAGAGGCTCATCCTGGAGAATCACCATGCCACCATCCCTCAGAAGGTTGGTCCCCAAGGGTGCTCCTGATGGGGTGCAGGGAGAATAGGTCTCTTGGAGCCAACTCTGGAGAGTCTGCTGGGGCTCTCCACCTTCTGGACACTGGCTGTGCTGGGTAGTATGTGTCAACATAAGAGATGCACAGGCCCGGGCACAGCACAGTGAGGTGTCTTGTTGAGTAGAGGAGGTGCAGCACAGAGAAAGGTGGTAACTAGGTGACTTTCTTTTCCTTCTAGGCCAAGGAAGCCATCTTGGAAATGGACTCCTATTGTAAGTTATCTCTTCCTTCCTGTTTGGTGCCTATTGATGTGAATAGCCAGGTTGGGCTGTGTCCCAGGAGAGATTTGCCTGATGGCTTTCATTCCAGGAGCAGAGAGGGTAGGGGTGGGAGCCTCCTATCATACCTCCTATACACCTAGGGGCAAGGGGCAGGAACTAAGTGCCTGAAGAAGATGGAAGAGGCTCCTGAGGCATCTGGAGCTGGGGTGGGTGGGTGTCAGGTCTAGAATTGGGCTGATGTAGTGATAGCCCTTGATTGTCTCCTTCCTGCTTGCAGATCCCACTCGGTACCGCTGTAGCCCAGAGAGACTGAAGAAGGCTTGGTCTTCCCAGGATGAAGTGTCCACCCATGTGCGGCAGGGGCGCCGGCAATCTGGTAAAGGAAGGGTTCAGCATGGCAAAAAGGTCTTTTCACAGGATCCTGGACCAACCTGGAGACCCTCTGTAGCTTCTGGGGCTGCCACCCTCAACTCTGCAGAAACCTGGGGAAGGGCCAGTGAACATGCGCAGAGTATCCTTGCTCTGTGCGCCCCGAACTTCACCAGGCTCCCCTGGGCCTTCTTACCTGCCTTTGAAAAGGAGGGCAGTTCTCCTTTGGAGAGCTCTAAAAATGCTTGATCATTCAGGCCTTGGCGTCTCTTCTTTGCTCTCTTTCCATAGAAACCTTCTTTCTCTGCTCCTCAGCCAGGAGTAAGACGTTAGGCACCGTGGATAGTCCCAGCCCAGTTCCAGAGTGATAGAACAGAAGCAGGACACAAGAAAAATGAGTTAGACCAAGTGGCACCAAATCCAGACAGGAAATATTTACTTTGGGTCTCTGGAAAAAGTTCCATTTTCCTCTCTTGGGTTTTCTTCCATTACAGGACTTGCTAATGGTCTCTTAGATTTATTGGAACAAATCGTCTCTTTAGAAAGAAAAAAACTTTGCTTTTATTTTTAGCTAACACACAGTGTATGTTTTCTGTGCTGATTTTATTCTGCTGTTCAGTCTGAGGCCTAGAGACAGATCTAGGATAAACCACAGGGACAGGGTTGCACAAGAACCATTTTAAAGTCACCTAGAGAGAAAGATTTTTTTTTTTGGCCAGTCCTGGGCTTGAACTCTGGGCCTGGGCTCTGTCCCTGAGTTTCTTTTGCTCAAGGCTAACACTACCACTTGAGCCAAAGCACCACTTCTGGCTTTTTCTGTGGATGTGGTACTGAGGAATCGAACCCAGGGCTTCATGCATGCTAGACAAGCACTCTTCCACTAAGCCACATTCCCAGCCGAGAGAAAGATTTTTGATTAATGGTGAGCTGGGTCTTGGCTTGGATCCACAAGTGCACTGGGGTTTGATTGGCTTACAACTTATGGGTCCCTTGAACCCCTGTGTGGATTGTTGTGTGGGTTTGATCTTCTAGAAGGCAGATCCAGGTTGTCTCTGGAAAGTTCTTGGTATTACTCTTGGGTGGATCTTGAACCTTGGGCCAAATTGGTTTGGCACCCCCCACCCCAGAACAAAAAAGCATTTAGATATTTACTTAGGGATAAAGATAGAATGTATGCATGGGTATATGTATGTATGTATTTGTGTGTGATGTTGGATACATCCACTGCTGAGGATCAGTTAATAAACCTTGGTAGATTTCCTGTGGCACCAAGTTTATGGCCAGCCCCAAGCTGACTTAATGCTGGGCAGGCTGGAGGAAGGGGCCGTTGAGCTAAGGGACTTGGAGAGAGGACTCTTCAGCCAAGGCTCTCTTATCCCTGCCCTCAGGTCTGTCCCCATAAAGCCTAATGGTTATGTTTTGTGTCCCGTCCCCAGAGCCTGGTCCTCTCCTGTCCAGCCGGGCAGCACTCCCCAGCAGGCAGCGAGGATTCATCCTGTCAGGCCTTAAGGGCCGTAGGAAGTCCGGTGCGACCTCTGCTTCCCAGCCAGGGTGCTCAGGGGCTTGGCAGGGGCGTAGCTAATGTGCTTGTGCCCCCTTTATAAGGGAAACAGAAGGGCTTGCGGTGGAGACCTGGCTAGTTGGTCTGCCGGGGGGGGGGGGAGGGCAGCATGGGGCCTGTCCCTTCCTAGTGGTACCAGAACTAAAGGCCGTGGCTGAGTGCTAATACAAGGGTTGGGCAGTGTAGTGTGCTGGGTGCAGGGCTTTAAAGGAATAGGAATGGCCCAGGTCCTCTTGTGTGTTGGGAAAGTGTTAAAGGGCTCAGGAACATGGGGGTGGGGGGAGCCCCCTGGAGGTCCTAGCCTTGCTGGGATCATCGCCAAGTGAACTTTGAGCTGGTGATGGGCTGGCAGTGCTGTGAGCTTGGGACCCAGCCAGGCATCGCTGTCTCTTGGCCTGTGGCTCACTCTGCCCATTTGTGTTTTTCCTCAGAACCAACCAGACACCTGCTGAGACAACTGAATGAGAAATGTAAGTATGTGAGGGGAGGGGGGGTTAGGATGGGGAGAGGGGTTGGGGGGATGGCAGCCATTCCCAGGGGGCTGTAGGTGGGATGGGCAGTGAAGCAGGTGACTACCCTGGTGGGTAGTTGTGAAGAGCAGGTTAGATGGAACTCAGCCTCTGTTCCTCCCCATGAAGAGGGCCTCACCCCTGCTTTCTGCACAGGGGTTTAACTTGCTTACCCCGTGCCCTTCCCTTGGTAACAGCGGGAGCCAGGTGATATGCACAGGCCTGTGCTGCTCTTAGTCTGGGCTCCTCAGCTGTCAATCATTCATTTGGAAGCCAGGATTGGGTGAGGGGGTCTGGGAATGGGCTCCCATTTCTCTAAATGGACTCTCTCCTGCTTATTGGTCTCTTTCCCTCCCCTCTCCGTCCCCTGTGTGGACTTGGTGGTGGAACAACAGCCAAAGCAGCAGGAATGAAGGTGAGGCCCAGGTGCTCATGGAAGCCAGGGAAGAGGCCCTGGTGAATGGAGGGTGGGTGGGACTGCCCGATCAGCTCATGGGGAATGCCCTCCTTCCATGGCCTGTTCTTGGAGCCCCTTTGATAGCCTGTCCAGCCTGGGATCTGCTCTCATATTTCCCTGTCTGGAGTGAGTGAGGAAAGCTTCTTCTGGGTCTGCCTTCCTGACAAAATGCCCACTTCGCACTGGACCCCATTGGAGGCCCGATTGGACATCTAGAGTGCTTTTCTGTGATGTCTCTGCTCCCCAGATGCCCAAAGGAGGCAGGGAGGTTACCCTCAAGGTGGGTAACCAGGAGTCCTTGTGTTCTGAACAGCATGCAGGCAGCGCCGGCGCCCTCCTGGACTTTGAGCAGGTATCCCATATGCAGAGTCTACAACCAGAGGCTGAGGGGGCTGCCCCAGAGGAGGAGGAGCAGGAGGAAGAGGAGCGGCAGGAGGAAGAAGAGGAGGTGGTAGAGGAAGAGGAGGAGGAAGAAGAGGAGCAGGCTTCTCCCGCCTCTCTGGAGGACCTGGCAGGGCATGAAGGCAGAGAGAAGGTGCCCCAGCCAGAGCCCCCAGGCTTGGAGGCAGAGGAGGAGGAGGAGGTGGAGGAGGAGAGTCTGGCAGTGGAGGAGCAGGTAGCCGACTTCGCCAGCTCCCTGCTGGCCGCCCTCCACTGCTGGCACTATCGGGCCAACGCTTTACTTTTCTCCCGGGGTGCTATGGTGAGGTGTCTCTTTGATCTCCCCTCCCCCTTGCATGTTCCTTAGCATGTGCATGTCCTTTCAAGAGTCCCCTCTTGTGTCCCCCCCTCCCCCAGCCCTTTGTTCTTGCATCAGCATTTCTTAACCCTCTCACTTGCTGTCACGCCTGGGTGAGCCCCTGGCATGCACTCTTCCGGCACTGGGTAACCCACCAGTCTACTCTGCCCCGAAGTGGGCCTAATCCAGGGGTGGCAGTGGGGGATGGGAAAGCCAGCACACAGTGGGGCCGGAAGGTCAAGTCTGCTTGGCTGGGAAGGGAAAGTGGGCTGGGCTTTTCTGAAGCTGCACACCAGCCCCAGGCCTGGTTGTTCAGGTTGTTCTGGAACGGCTCATGTCCAGGCTGGTTCCCAGTGCCAGGCTAGCCCCCCTCAGGGTGCAGGAGGGGCTGCTGAGTTTGGGCTGCAGGAGGGACCAGCTGACCATTGTTTTGGAGCTGATGGCTGATCTCTTCTTGCTACAGGGGAAAGAACACAGGGAGTCTGAAGGCTCCAAGAGCAGCAAAAGGCCCAGCAACCAGTCCCCAACCAGTGCTGAGAAGAGCATGAGTTTTGAGTCGGTCTCCTCCCTTCCTGAAGTGAGTGGTCAGCAGGTGGATTGGAGATGTGTGCTGGCTATCCAGATCCCTAGATCTGCAATTTGGGTTTTTCAAATGCCAGCTGTCTTGTTGGGCCCATGGAAACAGGGACTCTCTCCCCACCACTCTTGCCCCTTTAGAACACCTTTCCAGCCTAGAGCAGATAGCCTCTTCCTGTGAGTTAGTTAAAGGTGATCATCCTTAGTTAAATGCAGTTCCAGGCCGAGGGGCACAGCCAGTGGATATGACTGAATTTTAGGGCTCTGTGTAGGACACAGAGCTCACACTTGCCATAGCATGCCAGATGTTTAAGTTACATCGAGGCCTAAAGTATGGATATCTACACCTCTTGTTCCTTCTGTTCCTCACACCGTTCTAGAAGGAAAAGGCTCAGAGGTCAAGTAGTGGGTAGAAGGCAACTTCTGAGGAATAGAGATGATACAGGCCTGAGGCTCTGGCTTAGAGCCAGGGCTACCTCGTGCTTCTGTGGGTTGTGTGCAGCTGACTTGTTTGCTTTCCCAAAGGACAAGGTCATGAGCTAGACCCTAGGTTGGGTCATAGGACAAGACTAAGAACTTGGATGACTGTGGATAGAAATATACTATGGTCTGGGCAGGCTACTATAACAATATACTATGGTCTGGTCAGGCTACTATAACAAAATACTTTAAACTGGGTGCTTCTAAACCACACAAATTGCTTGTAGTCTGGAGGCTGGGGAGTTTAAGGTCAAGGCACCAGCAGGTTTGGTATCTGATGGCAGCTCCCTCTCTGTTTGGTAAGGATCACCTTGTTGTGTGCTAATGTGATGGAAGCCTCCCTTTAGCCTTTTTTTTTTTTAAATAAGGGGATTAACCCTTTCATGAGTGTGGCACCCTTGTGACTTAGTCACTTCCAAAGGCCCCACTTCTTCATATTCTTTTTTTTGAGGTAGAGTCTCCCTGTGAGCTTAGGCTGGCCCCAAACTCACGATCCTCCCCTTGGCTTCCCCAGTGCTAAGATGGAGATTGTAGGCGTGTGCTACCACTACCTTTTAATACTGTCGGTCACAGTGGGTGTTGGGTTTTAACATAAATTTGGGGCCCCATCATTTCAGACCAGATGCTAATAATGATAGAATATGAACATCCATGGATAATTTACTAGTAACCATGTTAAGAAAAAATGTTTTTAAAGACAAAGCTGGGCATGGTGGTACAAACCCAGTAATCCCAGCGATCAGGAGGCTGAATCGGGAGGATCGAGAGTTCAAGGACAAGCTGGAAGCCAGTGGCTCTTGCCAATAATCCCAGCTACACAGGAGGCTGAGATCTAAAGCTAAGGGATAGTGCCCAGACCCTGAGCTCAGCCCCAGTACTAGTACCAAAAAGAAAAAGAAAAAAAAAGCGATATAAGGACACTATCTTGGCAAAGATAGTGAGGCACTATCTCAAAAAACAATATAGAGGGCTGGGAAGGTGGCTAAGTGGTAGAGTGCTTGCCTTTCATGCATGAGGCCCTGGGTTCCATTCCTCAGCACCACATAAGCAGAAAAAGCCAGAAGTGGAGCTGTGGCTCAAGTGTTATAACGCTAGCCTTGAGCTGAAGAGCTGAGGGACAGCGCCCAGGCCCAGAGTTTAGGCCCTACTACTGACCCCCCCCCAAAAAAAAAAAACCTGAAAAAAATATAGAAACAAAACTGTTAAGGGCATAACTAAAGTGGTGGAGTGTTTACCTAGCATGCCCAAGGCCCTGGTTCAGTACCTACTGCCAGAACACACACATAAGCATACAATGTGAAATTAATTTTAATATAGTTAAACCTAATAGGTTCTAAAATATTTTAACATATAATCAATATTAAAAGTTCTTGATACTATCCTTTTTTTGGGGGGGGGGGTTGTGGGGCTTGAACTCTGGGCTTGGGCGCTGTCCCTGCGCTCTTCAGCTCAAGACAAGTGCTCTACGCCTTGAGCCACAGCGCCACTTCCAGTTTTTCTAGTGGTTTATTGGAGATAAGAGTCTCATGGACTTTCTTGCCCGGGAGATAAGAGTCTCATGGACTTTCTTGCCCGGGTTGGCTTTGAACCGTGATCCTCAGATCTCAGCCTCCTCAGTAGCTAGAATTATAGGCGTGAGCCACTAGTGCCCAGCTTCTTCTTTTTTTTTTTTTTTAAATATACAAAACCTTCAAAATCTGACATTTATTTTACTTGTACCACAGGCCTTGATTTGTATTGCTCAGAAAGCTAGGGGTGGCTGGTTGCTGGCTCTTGTGTTGGGCAGTGCAGGTCCAGGTCCTGGGTCCTACACAGCAGATTTTGGACCAGAATAAGTGGAATCAGGTCTGATTCATCAGCATTTCAAAAGACTGCTCTGGAAAGTGGCTTGCTCCAGCCAGTTTCTGGTTCAAGTTACCTTTAAGGTAGTCAGCAGGGGCGGTCTTCCTTGTCTATGTATTGGGTATATGCAGCTGAGTTGGTCCCACGGGTGCTGAGGCTGGCTGGCAGGAATTGGATTCCCTGTCTTCACCAGGCAGTAACAGCACACGGTCCTGTTGTCCTCTGGCCTGTGGCCTCCTGGGAACACGATCTCAGGGGGAGTTGGGATGTTTCCTCACATTGCTGAGGCTGGATTTGAGCATCATAAACCTAAGAGGAGGGGCTGTGCTGTCAGGTTGTGGAGTCCCAGTGTGGTTGTACTGTGGGGTACCTGTGAGAGCTGGCTCCTGGAAACCTGGACCAGTCCCTAGCCCTGTGTTCCACTTTGTGCCAGTAGCACCCAGGCAGGCCGTCACTGAGCCGTGTCATTGTCCTTCTCTGTTCCTAGTGTTTCCCTTGGGTGTGAAGGCATGCCCCAGCCTCCTGTTACATTGTGACAAAGGCCACAATCACATTCCTCTCTCTAAGGACTTGCTGCCCTACTTTTGAGTCTTACTCATGCTGATTGTCATCATCTTAAACTGCAGCTCTCTCCCTGGACTCTGAGCAGGCAGTGCGTCCTCTTGTTCCCCGGGTATCATGATAGGGCTTTGTGTGTGTGCCAGTACTAGGGCTTGAACTAAGGGCCTAAGACGCTGTCCCTGAGCTTTTGTGCTCAAGGCTTAACACACTCTCACTTGAGCCATCGCTCCACTTCTGGCACTGTCCCTAAGCTTCCCCCTCCCCCCCCCCCCCAAGGCTGGTACTTTCCACTTGAACTCTACTTCCAGCTTTTTGGTGGTTAATTTGAGATAGAAGTTTTTCAGACTTTCCTGCTTAGGCGGCCTTCAAACCATGTCCTCTGATCACAGCCTCTTGAGTAGTTAGGATTACAGGCGTGAGCCACTGGTGCCCAGCATGAAGGGGATTTTACTTACACGAACTCTCTTTGCTCTGTCTCAGGTTGAGCCAGACCCTCATCCTGGGACTGAGCAGGAGGTCCAGGAGGTCTTTGCTGCCACAGAAGGTCCCAGCACCGAGGAGTTGCCTTCAGATCCAGATTCTCCGGAACACCTCGACACACAGCTTAATGCCCACCCAGCTGACATGGTGGATTTTGTGGTGGCTGAGAGCACTGAGGACCTTAAGGCTCTAAGCAGTGAGGAGGAGGAAGAGGAGGAAATGGGAGCAACCCAGGAGCCTGAAAGTCTCCTGCCACCTTCCGTATTGGACCAGGCCAGTGTCATTGCTGAGCGGTTTGTCAACAGCTTTTCTCGGCGGAGCAGCCTGGCACTGGACGAGGGTAAGAACAGTGGCTTTGGGACGCCGCGGCTGGTTAGCCGGAGCAGCAGTGTGCTCAGCCTAGAGGGCAGTGAAAAGGGCCTGGCTCGGTGGGGCAGCACCACTGACTCCCTCATCAACCATCCTACCCCAGAAGTGGACATGAGCGAGGGGGTGGCCACAGAGAGTGGCCCTTCTGTCAATGGGACGGAGCCCCCAAACACAGCCTGTGGAGTAGAGCCTGATAGATCTTCCTGCAAGAAGGAATCCGCGCTCTCCACCCGAGATAGACTATTACTGGACAAAATTAAGAGCTACTATGAAAATGCAGAGCACCATGATGCAGGCTTCAGCATCCGGCGCAGGGAGAGTCTCTCTTACATCCCCAAAGGACTGGTGAGAAGCTCAGTGTCCAGGTTCAACAGCCTTCCCAAGCCAGAACCAAAGCCAGCAGCTCCGGTAGAGTACAAGAGACAGGGTGGCTCCCGGCCAGCATCATGGGTCCTGTTTGATCTCCCAGGACCTATGCAGGCTGGCCCAGGGGACCCAGCTCCGGTCACGGATGCTGAGTTTCAGCCGTCTTCCGAAATTGTGAAGATGTGGGAGAGGATGGAGTCTTCGCAGAGGAGCCCTCGGGTGGGGCCAGGGCAGGGCCAGGCCAACGGCTTTGAGCTGCAGGAGCCACTCTTCATCCTGGAGGAACACGAGCTGGGAGCTATCACAGAGGAGTCGGCCGCTGCCTCCCCAGAAAATGCCTCACCCACCGAGAAACACAGCCCAGCCCACCTGGCCCAGGAGCTCAAAGAGCTGGTGAAAGAGCTGAGCAGTAATGCCCAGGAAGATGTGGTCACCCCATTGCACCCCCGCATTGTGCAGCTCTCCCAGGTGATGGACAGCCATGTGAGTGAGCGGGTCAAGAATAAGGTCTACCAGCTGGCCCGCCAATACAGCCTCCGGATTAAGAACATCAAGTCGGTAACCACCAGGCCACCACTGCAGTGGGCAAAGGATGTTCCTGGAAGAGATGGGACGAGCCCTACCATCCCCTACCTGCAGGAGGAGTCTAAGGAGCCTTCACGTGGCAAAGGTGTGACGTGGGGGTGGGGAGGGACCTAGGGACATAGAAGCCAATGAGGAGCTGGACACTGGTGGCTCACACCTATCATCCTAGCTGAGATCTGAGGATCAGGGTTTACAGCCCAGCCCCGGGCAGGAAAGTCCTAAAATCCTTATCTTCAAAAAGTTGGAAGTGGAGGTGTGGTTCAAGTAGTACAGCATCAGCTCAAAGCCAAGGGGGTACCCAAGGCTCTGAGTTCAGGCCCCAGTACTGGTACATACGAAGACACACAAAAGCCAGTTAAGATCCAGTGCCCCTGAGGAAGGTAGTCTCTAAAGAGATTTTGCCCAAGAAAATGTTGTAAGTGTGGTGAGGTCAGGCAGTTGCTCTAACCCTCTGAGGTCAAACATATTCTCCTGTTTTTTGTTTTGTTTTGTGTTTTGCCAGTCCTGGGGCTTAAACTCAGGGCCTGGGCACTGTCCCTTAGCTTTTTTGCTCAAAGCGAGTGTTCTACCACTTGAGCCACGGCTCTACTTGTAGCTTTTTTGGTGCTTAATTGGAGATAAGAGTCTTCCAGACTTTCCTGTCCAGGCTGGCATTGAATCCTGTTTTGGGTGTGGTAGCTTATACCTGGAAATCCTAGCTACTCAGGAAGCTGAGATCTGGTTCAATCCTTCCAGTACCTTTTGAGTACCCTATTCCCAGCCCTTCCTGGAGGAGCCGAGGGAGCTTAGAGGAATATAGCCAGGGACACTTCCTTACCCGGATGAAAGGAAAACCTCTCATAGCTGCTGCTAACTCCTCACCCCTACTTACTGCCTTTATTGCCCTTTGATGAAAGAGCAGCAGGGGGTAAATGGGATTTTTCTTCCATGGTACCCCCCAAAACCCCCTAACCTGCTGAGGCCCATTCCAAGCCCTCCCTTCCTGGCTCTGCCTTCCTGTGCTGGTGATTTCAGACAGCTTGATCTCTCTTCACAGGCAAGAGGAAGCCCAGGCTGTCCCTCAGCTATGAGCAGCTGGTGGCCCAGGAATACAGTCCCCCCAGGTCCTCTGCCACGGAGACATCACCACGCCGTTTTTCCTTCAGCCCTTCTTCAGTCAGCCCGAGAACCACCTCACCTGGGCCCTGGCCCTCCACATGGAGCCCCCTCAGTCCCTTCGACACTGAAACCTTCAACTGGCCAGATGTTCGAGAGCTCTGCTCCAAGTACGCTTCCCACGATGAGGCTGTCCAGGCTGGGGGCAGCTGGTCTCGTGGCCCACCAGTCAACAGGAGCCGCTCGTTACCCGAGAGCATGGTGGAGCCTCTTCTGTCAGGCAGGGTGGGCCGCTGTCGTAGCCTGAGTACTAAGAGGGGACGGGGAGGTAGAGAGAGTTCCCAGTCCCTGGCTCCTAGGTTACCCCAAAGTGTACTGAATGGAGGTGAAGCCCTGTATGTCACTGCAGACCTTACCCTGGAGAACAACCATCGGGTGATTGTCATGGAGAAGGGGCCTCTTCTCAGCTCCTCTGTGGGGCTGGAGGAGGAGGGCAGTGGACAGGAACAAGTCTCCCCAGGAGCCATAGTAGAGCAGGGCCAAGATTTCCAGGAGTTTGTAGAATCCTGGCCAAAGGAAGAAGGGCCCAGGGACCCAGGAGACCCAAGCAAGCAGGGCAGAGTAAGAAACCTGAGAGAAAAATTCCAGGCCTTGAACTCTGTGGGTTGACCAACTCCTGTGGGAAGGAAGGGCCTTGCTGGGATGGGGTGGAAGCTGGCATACCTCCCCCAGGTCTGGCTCACTTGAGCCCAGGCCAGGGCCTCACAAAGGCCATCCCTTCTCTTCTTGGAAGGCCATCTATCCCTCTTGTTCTTGGAAGAGGGCTGTAGCATGTACCCATGGACTCAGCCTTCCACGCATGCTATGTGCTGGCACTGTACTTCCTTGGGGCCTGTGACAACTTTCTTCAGGCCCAGATGAACTGTTGTTTTCCATGGAGACCTTTGCCTCCACTTCCCTTGTAAATAGGCCTTTCTGGTAAGGAACCAAATATTTAAGCTCATATCTGACCAGAGAGAGCAAGCGCTGCCCAGGCCTCCAGCACTGGCTGGCCATTCCCAGTCTAAGGACCCGTGAAAGAGACCCAAGAAGTGGACTGGACAGGTTTTACTCTTAAACTGTACCTTTTCTTAGGACTCAGGTGAGAATGAGGCCAATAATTTATTGCTTTCCATCCTGTGGGGTGTGTGTGTGTGTGTGTGTGTGTGTGTGTGTGTGTGCAAGTGTGTATCTTCCTATTGGTTATCCTCCCCCTCCCCCCTCTCCACCCCTTCCCCCTTCCTGTGAAGAATGTAATGGACTTAGTTCAGGTACTTTTGAAAGTCGTTGCTAATGTACATACATTTCATTATTTGTCAATGGTGCAATAACCACTGCTGACCAACTGACCTGTGTGTGGCCTCCTTACTGGGACCTGGCAGGGTTGTTAGTGGGCCCGGGCTGTCTCGGGGGAGGCAGGAACAGGGAATCCCCTCTCCCCTTCACATGCTTATTAATCATTCAGGCTTAGGAAGACACAAGGGTTCTTGTGGAACAGGCAGGACCCACAGAGTGATAAAGAGGAGACTTGTTCTCTGCTGTGTTTGTTTCCATGCACTTCTCTGTCCACCCACGGCTGGTGTCCTACTAGGGATTCTACATATCAGCCTTCTCCAAGTGAAGGGTCAAAATTGTGCTTTAAAAAAATCCTAAAAAACAAAGGAGGGTTGAGGGGTGGGGAGCCAGACAATCAAATATACCCAAGTTTCCAGTGCCTTTTCCTCCCTCCCTCTCTAGTTCCCAGGAGGCATCCCAGTAGGCAGGGGCCCGGAAAGGTCCTAAAATGGCTTGCAGCATTAGGAGAGGGAAGGGAAGAGCAAATACATTTTTTTGGAATACATGCTCCATGTCCAGTGTGTTCGCAAATAGGTGATTCCCAAGGGCCAGCAGTGCCTCTCTATTTCAAATTTGTGGGGTTTTTTTTGTTTTGTTGTTTTTTGTCCCTTCTTCATGGAGGTCCACCCTTGTTTTGTCTAGTTTGTTCCGACTGGGGCCAGGAAGAAAGGGCTGTGGGTCCCCAGTGGGAGAGTGGTTCAGCCATGTTTCTGCGGAGTCATGGTCAGACCCCCGTGTGGGTCTTCTGACCTGGGAAGGTGGACTCAACCTGGACATGGGTCCACGGAGTCTCCCAAGGAAAGGACCAGGGAGCACTGGGGGTGGTGGCAGCCTCCTGTGCAGAAGCATAGTAGGCGGCCAGAAGCCTGTGTTTTACCAGCTGCCTGACCCTTCTGTGATCATCTTATAAAAAAGGGAGCTGGCCCTGACCAGACCAGTCCTGGGATAGGACACTGAGAAGCCGTAAGTGTAATGGACAGGTGACCCAGATTCTTGTCCCAGCCTTGCCACTAGCTAGCGGGATCACCCAACACTGTTACTCATCTACAGATTGAAAAGTTGGATGAGTTTCTGGGTCCCAAACTCCCTGATGGACTTTTCTGAGCTGGGCCTTTGGCAATCACAGCTGACCCTTCTCCAGGTGGTCCTTAAATCTTGTCTAGGACTGCCTGAGGATCCTGCTCCAGAGCAGTGGTTCTTGCTAACGGCCCATTAGAATCGCCTGTGGAGCATTGTGAAGCCCAGCAATGCCTACATTCTGTCTACCTAGACCACACAGAACCTGTTCTGGAGATGGACCCCAGGCACAGGGGCTTCCTTAGAAATCACTTTGCCCTGCCACAGGTCTTCAAGTTGATGGAATGCATGAGGGTCTCCCTAAGACTCCCCAGGATACCAGCTAGAGTTTAGATTGTCCTGTCTCTCTCTCTCTCTTTTTTTTTTTTTTGGTCCGGTCGTGGGGCCTGAACTCTGGGCCTGGACGCTGTCCTTCCGCTCTTCAGCTCAAGGCTAGCGCTCTACCACTTGAGCCACAGCGCCACTTCCAGCTTTTTTCTTTTTGCTTATGTGGTGCTAAGGAATCGAACCCAGGGCTTCAGGCATGCAAGGCAAGCACTATACCACTGAGCCACCTTCCCAGCCCTGTCCTGTCTCTTATGTCAGGCTTAGTTCAAAGGGAAAAGGAGGTTAGTCAAATAAAAATACTGAAACAAATGTGGAGCATTATTGATTTATTAGAAAAAACTAGTAAATGGGTTTTCCTCTGGTTGGTGGAAGCACATTGGAGCAGGTGGAGGACAAGGCCCAGCCGGCCCCAGGGCCAGCCCCAGATGGCATGGTCTGTGCCCAACAGGCTTGCATTCCTCCACAGCCGCCTCCTCTCTTGAGTCCTCCCTGAGCTTGCTTGAGCCATGCGGCCCACTGGCCTCTTTTTCCTCTGGATCTCAGCCCCCTTCCTCTGAGGGAGGAAGGGAATCTAGTCTTTGCCCTCCGAAAGGCAGGAAGGAGGAGCGAAGGGGGAGGGGAAGCCGAGCCTGTACAGGACTCCTGTTGCCCGTGCTAGTGGAGGTGGGGAGAGGGTTGGACCCTCTATTCCTCCCTCAGCCCATCAGCTGAGGCCAGGGACAGAGGAGATGGGGAGAGGGAAGGAAAACTGCCTGACAATGCCCAGAAGGAGCTTCCTCTAACTGCCCTGCGGGGGAAGCCTGTTATGCTGGTGTGGACTGGGGCTCTGCCAATCCAGTTTGGGTATACTGTCGTGGAAAAGACTGCAAAGTAGAAAATGTAGGGAGGAAAATAAACCTTACCAGGGCACCAGGAGTGGCACAGGGCCGGCTGCCTGCCATCAGTTCAGTTGGTGGAGTGTCTCGGGACCTGGGTGACGAGGGCAGGAGGCGTGGGGAGCTGGCGGTGATGGTGGGTCACATGCAGCTGGCTCTCCTTGCCCAATCCTGGGACCTGCCATCGAGACCCTTTGTTTCCTGGGCCTGTGGAGTTCCTGGCTGGAAATTCTTCACATGTCACTTGGGCACACACATGGAGGAAGGTAGACCTTTGACCTCCCAGAGATGCCTAGGGAAACACTTCAAGGGAGCTATTTGCTACCTCCACCCTTAAGCAGTGAGCTGCTGTCTGCCTCAGTGGTGGGCATGACTTGAATGAACCAAAGGCTAACTTTACTGCCAGGTAAGTGCAACTACTTCCCTGCCTTGGTTTCCCCAGATGTAGAGAGGAAGCTGGTGAGAGGTACTCACTAGCTTCTCTGTGAAAGCAGAAGGCTTCTGGCGTCTAAGCGTTGAGGCCAAATGAAGACCCTGGTTACAGAGGTGGAACATCTGGTCGGAGGCTCGGGCTCCACTGGCTAGCCTCTTCCCTCCAGTGGTTCCTGTCTGCTGGAGTTGGCTCCAAGCAACATCGTAGTGTGGGGACCACAGGATGGAACTGCTCTCTCTTGAGTTGCGTCTGCCCTAGTCAGCGCTGGGGGATGCTGGGAAGGGGCTCCTCCCTGAGCTTAGCCTGCATCAGCTCCACACAACCAAAGCTCCTTCCTACAGGGAAGGCCATAGACACTGGCTGTGAGAACCCCAATGGTCTCCCAAGGGGACAATGCCTGCTGCCTCCAACTGGACTCCTCTTTTGGATCTAACCCCAGCTAAGGTGTTGGGCTGGTGCTCTATTGCTTTCAGGATGGTGTACAGGCCTAGTCCTATGGGGCTAGGGACCTGTGGTCTCCTTCCTCTGGAAGTATGAGAAGGCCCTCCCCCGGGACTGAGCCCCTTCAGGTGCTTGGAGAAGGGATGGTAAATGTTTGGCAATGTCTGTGTCCATGTGACTCCCAGAACCCAAGTCCAGGCCTTCCGGAGAACTGATCATGGTGGGCCACACCTTCATGGCTCTGGCCCCAGCATTCATCCCAGAGGGCCAGGACTCGTTGTATTACAGACTTCAACATGAGAGAGGCCACATTTGTCACCTCATGTGATTCTTTGCTGTGGGTCTAGTCAGTAGCGTGGATGGTACCAGCTTTAGACAAGACAATGGGCCCATGCTGGGGTACCCAGCTTGTGTCTGCCATCCGCAGGCTCCTTTAGGAGCCAGCCTCTGGCTGCTATGATAAGTTGGGGTAGGGCTCTGGCACAGCAAGGCGGAGCCTTGGGCAGGATAAGACCTGTCTGTTCTTCCTTGGGTCAGCCCGAAGTCCTAAACTCTTGACTTAGAATTTTCAAAGGGGAATGATTTCAGGGCTGCTGGTCTTCCCTACTCTACCTGGGCTGGGAGACAAAGGTGCTGAGGAGAGCAGAAGGCTCATTAATCAAACTGGGGGGGTGGCGGGGGCGGGGGCTCTTTTGGGGGCATGCTGGCCCTGAGGAGAGTCCTGGTTCTGAGTGAGCCCAGTGGGGAGCAGGCTGGTGGTACTCAAGGCCTCCCGTCTCTTCTTGTCCCCTCACCCTCCCAGTGGCCCCTGGCTGTGGTGCTGGGGCTCTGTCGCCCTCCTCAAGTCCCCTTCGGGTCAGGACAGACATTGCCAGTGTCTCTCTTCCCTTTCCTTTTCCATGGATGGTGATTCCCAAACAGCTGTGGGTGAGGGCAGCACTTAGGGACCCCCATCAACACTTTCTGGCTTTTATGGGAGTGGCAGGGGGGACGGACAGGGAGAGGAGGGCGTGCACCTGGGTGAACCGTTTCCAGCTCTGGAGGAGCTGGGAGTCCCCGGAGCCGAGCCGGCTGCACAGAGGGCAGGCAGAGGGTGTGTTGGCAGGCAGTGGGCAGCCAGGCTGGGCAAAGGCAGCTATTGCAGCACAGCATGGGGCCCCAGGGCTGGCCTGTGACATGAGCAGGCAGGCTACGGACAGCAGGTGGCAGGCGGGAGGAGGACTGGCCGCTGCAGAGGTCAAGGCCATGGCCTCCTGGTCCTTGAGCATCCTGATGCACCGCTGCACCTGCCTGGCCAGCCCCACCTAAAGTGGCCACCAGCTGCTACTTCTTTTTAGGGAAGAAGCTGAATCTCTTCTCCTTGTCCTTCTTGCCGAGGCTGGCATCTGGGCCAGCAAGGGAGGGCAGGGGCAGGCTCTGTGCCTTGACACGGATGCTCTGGGACTCGTTGATGGCCGTGCTCATCCCCTGCAGCCAGGACAGCATCTCCTCCTGGGGGGCAGGAGCATCAGGGAAGATTCCAGGAGCACACAGCATTCCCAGGGCAGCACCAGGAGTGAGGCTGCCCGTTCTGAGGCAGCCCTCACGGCCTATGTCGTGGGCACCCTGCCCCATCCCCTTCGTAAGCCAGCTAGAACCAGGCTGCCCACACTTACCTCATCTTTGCCATGGAAGAGCCACTCACTGCCATTACTCAGCCTAGGAGGACAAAGGGATCCTGTGACGGGGCCACCTCTGGAGCCCTTGCCCAGGACGGGGAGCAGACCCTTGAGTCTAATATCCAGAACTCTTGAAGGCAGCATGGCACCTTCTAAGAGCTAAAAGTCTACAGCATAAGCCTCTTGAAAAATCAAATGACAGGCTCATGCCTGTGATCCTAGCTATGCTAGGAGCCTGAGATCTGAAGATCTCAGATCTCAGGATCTCGGCCCAGGCAGGAAAGTCTATAAGATTCCAATAAACTATCCAAAAGCCAAAAGTGGAGCTCAAGTGGCAGAGTGCTAGCCTTGGACAAAAAATGCTCAGAGACAATGCCCAGGCCCTGAAATCAAGCTCCAAAACCAACACACATACCCCACACACAACGGGAACTAGAGCTGTGACTCAAGTAGTAGAGCACCAGCTATGAGGAAAAAAAAGCTTAGGGGGAGCGTGGGAGCGTGGGACAGTGCTCAGGCCCTGAGTTCCAGCCCAGGCGCACGCACATGCGTACGCGTGCGCGCGCGCACACACACACACACACACACACACAGCAGGGATAGAGGGGACTCCTGAGGAGCAGAGTGGGTTTGGAGCTATTTCCTTTATAGTGGACACCAAATCAAACCCTAAGGGGAGTGGGATACATATTCAAAGCGTTCAAGGCCCAGGCAGGGGACAGTGGAAGGCTCACCTGAGCTTAAAGACGTGCTTCTTCTTCTTGTAATTGGCAGCAATCTCACAGATGGCATGTCTCAGGGCCAGGGGCTCCTCCCCATGGTAGGGCACCCCCAGGGCCAGGTTCTTGGCGTCCTTGTAGAAGGTCAGCTCACTATTTCTGAGCACGCAGTACAGGTTATTCCAGGACCTGAAAATAGGTGGCCCTGCAGGTCAGATCACTCATGGCTCTGACTCAGCATCTCTATGGTAAATTCCTACAGCTGTACCGGGACTCTTTATTGCTTTATGCTTTCCCAAAAAGGAGGAGGGATAGGGCTGGGAATGTGGCTTAGTGGTAGAGTGCTTGCCGAGCATGCATGAAGCCCTGGGTTCAATTCCACAGTACCACATACACAGAAAAAGCCGAAAGTGGCACTGTGGCTCAAGTGGTAGAGTGCTAGCCTTGAGCAAAAGAAGCTCAGTGACAGTGCCTAGGCCCTGAGTTCAAGCCCAGGACCAGCAGAAAAAAAAGCAGGGGGCAGCTGAGAATGTGACTTAGTGGTAGAATGCTTTAAGCCCTGGGTTCTAGTCTTCAGTACCACATACACAGAAAAAACCAGAAGTGGTGTTGTGGCTCAAGTGCACTAACCTTAAGCAAAAGAAGCTTAGGGACAGTCCTTAGGCCCAGAGTTCAAGCCCCAGGAATGGAAAAAAAAAAAAAAAGGAGGGATTAAAAATCATCTGCACATAATTTTACCACTAAAAGTTAACTACTGCTTACTTTGTGTCTTTTTAGTCTTTTCCCCCCCATTCACAAATTTACTTTATTTCCTATTCATATAGATAACTGAAATTGGATGGATTGCATATTCAACATTTATTTATTTATTTATTTTGAGAAAGCTCTTGTTAAATAGCTTAAATTGATCTCAAATCTCGTTTCTCCTGACTCAGGCTCCTACCTGTTAGGAATTGGCCATAATGTGTTCTGTCCTAGCACTTGGTTTTTTTTCTAGTGCTAGTCCTGGAACTTGAACTTAGGACCTACACATTGTCCTTGAGCTTTTTAGCTCAAGGCTAGCACTCTACCACTTGAACCGGTGTTCTGCTTCTGGCTTTTTGATGGATAATTAGAGAGAAGAGTCTCACAGACTTCCTTGCCTGAGCTGGCTTTGAATTGCAATTCTTAGATCTCAGCCTCCTATGTCCTAACACTTTTAGCTCAGAGAGAACCCAGGCCCTGAGTTGAAGCCCTATAACCGACAGAAAGAAAGAAACAAAGAAGAAATTAAAAAATGGAAAAGAAGGAAGGCAGGAAGGAAAGCAAGTGAACAAGTTTCAGCATCACAGGGTGGTTATGAAGACCTCCCCAGTCCTCACAGAACGGCTGGCATATGTAGTTTACTCAGTAAATGATCCTTTCCATTTTTCCTGGTGGACTCTCCATTAAGCAATAATTGACTCTTTGGTCAATTGGGTTTCCAGATTGTTCATTTTTAAAGTTCAAAATAGCTTTATTGAGTCCCTCAGGACAGCATGCTTCCAGATGCCTCTGGGAATACAGTTGTTTTCAATCTCTTGGTACCACCCTTTTTCCTTGGCACCCTGGACTTATGTTAGAAAGAAAAGCCGTCCAGGGGCTCCAGGCAGAGGCAGCCTTGGATAGACTGAACCCAAGGATGTGACTGATGATGGTCCATTTTAGGGTCATGAGGTCACTGAATAATACTACAGGAGGCATGTAAGCCAAGCCGTCATGTCATCTTCTGTTTTAGTTTATTGGTTTTGTTGAGACAAAACCCAGGCCCAGGCTGGCCTGGAACTTGTAAAGCTGCTTTATTTAGCCTTCTGGGAGTTGGGATTATAGGAATGACCTGTCACACCCAGCCTGTTTTGTTTTGTTTTGTTTTTTTGCCGTGGGGCTCTTGAACTCTGGGCCTTGAGCTCTTCAGCTCAAGGCTAGTGCTCTACCATTTGAGCCATAGCACCACTTCTCAGGAGATAAGAGTCTCACGGACTTTTCTGCCCAGGCTGGCTTTGAACCACGATCCTTAGATCTCAGCCTCCTGAGTAGCTAAGATTACAGGCGTGAGCCACTGGTGCCTGGCTACACCCAGCTTTTATCTACCATTTTAAAGCTGAGGAAACAGAAGCCCAGATGGTTGAAAATGGGACTCAGTGAACCTGTTATTAGCACCACAGCTACCTGCTCCCCAGCCCTGGGATAACCACATCAAAGGCCTGCTCTGTGCCTGCCATGGTCCTCATCCCTGTTTTACTCATCCCTGTTTTATTCACTTAGGATTGTTGAGTAACTTGTACGAAGCTGTAGGATTTGAACTCAGGGCCAGAATTTAGATAGGCTTTTTTTTTTACCCCCTCAGAGAGGAGGCAGTACTGAGGATTGAATCAGGTGTTCATATTTGCTAGGTGGGTGCTCTACCACACTTCCAGTGATACAGACTTGTTCTGTCATGCCAAGTGGCCCAACTCATACCCAGGTCACCAGCGTTCTGATGATCCAGTGGGCCCAGGCCCTGCCAGGGCTCCTCGTCTCCCATATCCCTTCTTCCATGTACCTGTTGGATGCCTTTTTGTTGGGGCCTTCTAGGTCATGCTTCCGGCCCAGGTAGCCCTCCATCTGCACGCTGTGCCCAAGGTCCCGCTGGGCGGGGAGCGTTGTGGGCTCGTCGCCCTCACTCAGAGGTGTGTCCAGGACCTTAAAGATGGGCTCCGTGGCAGGCCTCTCGTCCTCACCAGATTTCTCCTCTGGTCCATTCTCCTGCTGGCCCAGCAAGGGTGGCGGCTGCCGGTCTCGAACCCATGGTCCTTCTTCTTCCCTCTGCTCAGGGGCACAGAGGAAGAGCATACCTTCCTGGGGATTCAGGCCTAGGGACAACTTTTCTTGGCAAAACCCCACCTGAGCCTTCTTCTCTTCTGCTGTGCCTACCAGACCCACCCTGGCCCTCCCACTGCCCTGGCCTCTGCTCCTGCCTCTGTCTCGCCCGAGTTCCTGATTCCCCCTCGCAGAGGGTGACCCCTTTCTCCAACCCAACTTCTTTAGGGCTCCTGAGGGATCACCGCATCCAGGACAGGTGCTGAGGCTGCTGGCAAAAGCTCAGGCTCAGTGCCAGGCTCTAGGCCTCACTCCAGAATCTTCTACTGCGTGACACACAGTGCTCTGAAAACTGTCCACTTGAATAAAAGGTCTGCTGCTCGGACAAGGTACAAATGCCTGGCTGAGAACGCTGAGCACAGACTCTTCTGATATCTTTGAACTGTGGCAAAAACCCAAAGTCTCCAAGTCTAGAAGGCTCAGCCCCTTCTAGACATTGGTTAGGGAACACAGGCCCCGCCCATCAGGTGCTGAGAATTTGCTGGATAGGGCAGTGGTTCCTGACCCTTAATGCCTTTGACAATCACCTCAGGAGCTTTCCAGAAACATTCTCAGGTCTTCTCCATCAAGATGCTAGCGGTTAACTGGCGCTGTGTGTGTGTGTGTGCGTGTGTGTGTGTGTGTGTGTGTGTTAAGCATATCATGTTGCTAAGGGGCCAGTAAGGGTAGAGAATTGCCCACATGGGTTTTACTTCCCTGTGGAGTCCTCTGCCCTACACTAAGTGAGGAAAGCACCCCTTTTTGTGGATGCCTTCCCTCATTCTGGCTGAATATCTTTTCTTTTTCTAAGTATAATTTTATTGCTGTTATTATTAACACGTACAGAGTGCCTCCCACTTCTTAAGTCAGGTAATGTGTACATTTCTCTTTTGGACAATGTCACCCCTTCCTTCCCTTTCCCCGAGTTTTCCCCTCCCATCCCGGCCCACAAGTGATGTAGGTGATTTTCTGCAGTGTCTACCGAATAACAGGATTGCATTTGCACCTTCTCATCAGGTCTCTCCGACCTGCCCTTGGTCTGCTCCATAGAAAGAAAGAGAATGCAAGGCAGTTGGGGGCGGGGGTGGGGGAGGGGGTGCAGGCAGCCCACATCCCTCCCACTGCTGGCGGAGGCAGGAATGGCTGGGGTCTCCTAGGAGTCAAATGAGTACCCAGGAAAGCAGAGTGGGTCTCGTGGCTAGCACACTGTTCCTGTTAGCCTGGCTGCTGCTTAAGACTTTAGAGCATGAGCCAGGATGGAGTCCCTCAAATGTCTGGACACCTGAAGGGCGAAGTCAGAGCCCCTTCCTCCTCTCACACCCAGCGGTGGGCACAGAGGCTCAGAAGAAGGCTGGGAGGTGCAGGGCGGAGCCAGGAAAGAGCTTCCAAGTTCTCTGCTTCTCTGGGGCGGGGGGGGGGGGGGGAGGTCCTTTGATTCAGGGGCTGAGTGGGAAGCAGAGGGCGGAGGCTGGGAGGATGTGAGTCTCTCGCCGGACATCAGACTGACTAAAGCTTGAAGCCGAAACAAACTGGGGACGTGTAGCAGTGGAAGTGGCCAGGCTCTGGCTGAAGTGGCAATAAGGAATCCAAGGGGAGGCTCCTTAGGGAAGTTTGAAGACAATGGTTGGAAGAAAGAAGCTGGCTGTAGCTGTATCCCATCATACTAGGACTGCCCAGGAAATGGGTAGTAAGTAGGGGTTCTGGTAAGATTTCAATTTCACTTTAAAAAAAAAAAAGGTATCTTTACCGGAAGGAAGTGTTTGGAAACCCCTAGCCTAACCTAAGGGTTTCTGTGTATAATGAGGAAAAACAATGAATGCTCAGGGAGGTTAAGAGACTTGCCCGAAGCTACACAGCTAATAGGTATAGGAGGCAGTTAGAAGCATCAACTCCAGAAAAGGACAGGCCTGCATTTTGACTGTATCTTTAGGGAACTCAAATAGTCCTTTGGTAAGAGTCCTTTGAAGGTTGTGGCCATGCCACAGAATTTGTATCTTGGAGTGTCTTCAGTGAGCCAGCACTGCCCCCATGGTGCTGACCAGAAGCCCTGATCAGGAGATCTTCTGGTCCCCAGTCTGGTCAGCCCTCTGCCTATGTAGAAAGCTCGGGAGGCAGAGCATTAGTGCAGAAGGGAAAACTAAGGTCTTAGATCCCAGCCTCAAACCCAGCCGGGACTGCGCATCTGTCAAGGGGTGGGTGGGCTCTGTCTGTGGGACAGGGAGAGTGCTCACTGCTCCTAAGCATGGGCCAGGACACTCTAACCTCTAGCAGATGCACAGAAGGAAGCCTACCAGCCCTTCTCACGGCCTCATTTCCCCTGCTCTCACCCAGCCTCTACCATCCTAGGCCTGGCTTTGGAGACCTTTGTTCCAAGTTTCCTTCCTCTACTGTTATGTTCATTCCTTTCCCTTCCTTTAGGGAACTGGCCTTTGGGAATCAAGGTGGACCAGCAGGACTGACTCCTGTGGTCCTTGCTTCCTTCAGCCTCATCCTCACAGGTGCCTGGCCCAGTTCCCCAGCAGGAACATGCAGTGGCAGTAGGTATGACAGTTATATGGCTAGGTTCTGAGTGGCTTTGGAAATTGAGGGTTTTCAGTCTAGGCAAGTTGTGTGTATTCTGCTCTCCCACCCCACCCAAAGGCCAAGGTCTGAGGAGGAGGAGCCAAGAATGAGGGCGATGGAGGTGTTTGGCTTTAGCAGGGCTTCCCTTCCTCCCTGGGCTGGGGGAGATGGGGTGGATAAAGATGGATGCAGTAGAGGGGGAAAGGGCTTTGGGACCAAGCCTTTCTTCCCTTCCTCAGCAAACAAGGGAAGTTTGATAGAAGAGGAAAAAAAGGAGAAGAATTGAGAAGAGAAAAAGGAGGAGGAGGATTGGAAAGAGCAGCAGGGGGAGGAAGAGGAAGAGAGGAGAGAGGGAGAGAAAGAGAAAGATGAGAAGGAGCAAGAGAAACAGGAGGAAGAGGAAGAAGGGGAGGAGGAGAAAAAGAAAGAGAGGCAGCACATTAGAGACTTTCAAAGTGACCCAGTGGCTGCAAAAGTTGCCTTGATAATGTTTTATTCCTCTTGCCCAGCCACCTTCCTCCTTGGAATTTTGCTGATTTTCATGGCCAATGTTCTCCTGTGTGTGTGTGTGTGTGTGTGTGTGTGTGTGTGCGCGCGCACACACACACACACGCGCACCAGAACAGGGCTTGAACTCAGGGCTAGGTACTGTCTTTAACTTTTTCAATCAAGTCTAGCACTCTACCACTTGAGCCACAGCTCCAGTTTTTTGGTGGTTAATTGGTGGTAAGAGTCTCATAGATACTTTTCTGCTCAGTCTGGCTTTGAACTTCAATCCTCAGATCTCAGCCTCCTGAGTAGAGGATTATAGCTTTGGTCAGTGTGACCCTTTGCCTATAGAATATGAGGTGCACAGGACTGAGCAATGGGGAATCTTAGCCACCAACAAGTGAGACCTTCCTAGCTCCTTCCTCTGCTATTTTTGACTGGAACATTCCAAGGCTCCCGACAGAAGCAGGGTGACTGTCAGGAGTAGAAAAACCCACCATAGCAGCACAGAAACATCCTGTGGCTCCAGAAAGCTTGAGGTGGCAGGGGTGGGATGGGGTAGGGGGGGGGGGGGGAGGGAACCTTAGGAGAAAATCACTCAGAAGGCAAAGGCAGAAATGACCAGCTAAGGCTGAGGGCCACAGGCTGCTACTTAGTGGAAGGTAATGATAATTCAGAAGTGGACTTTCACAAACAGCCCACAACTTTGAAAAGAATGCAAAGAAGATTATACCTAGACACATAGACACCTAGATGGTTAAATCCTTTCTGAAGCAAAACCACCTCTTAGAAAATCTTCTCTGCAGAGGAAGTTTGCCAGACAGCGAGGAGCCAGTCAGAGGATGCTGCCACCTTGTTCTGGTGGGGGAAATTTTGCCCTTGGCCTTCTGTGTTAGAAACCTCTGTGTGTGTGTGTGTGTGTGTGTGTGTGTGTGTGTGTGTAGATCCTTATTTTGTAATTCATAAGAGAGAAGGAATTTCCTTGGGGACTTTTTTTTGTAGCCACACCTCTGAGAAGATGAAAATAGCCAGGAGGTAGTTATAAGGGAAGCCAGTCCCCCGGGAGAAGGCAGGGGATGGGGGAGGGAAAGAAGGCGGTGAAGCCTGATGTTGGGGCAAGAGGAGATTCTCAGCATTCTAGAGCTGGAAAAGGACTTGGCGTTCTTGACTCAGACTGACCTATGACTGGGTTCTAGAAAAGCCCAAGGACTGGCTAGGATCACAGAGACATCTCAGGTGGCCCAATGAAGCACAATGCCTGGCCCCGCTCCCCACCAACTGCTGATGAGGGGGAGGCCTGGGACACTGATAATTCATTCCTGCCATTGACAACTTCCCAATTGAGCATCAGGGTGGTAGACCCCATTCCCAAAGGGAGACCTGGGGTAAGGCTGGTGGATGGTTCAAGCAGAAGGGCCAAGATTGCTCAGGACACAGTTATAAATAAGCTGGGACGAGAAGGGAGTCTCCTGCTGTGTCTCCAGAAAGCATGCCACGGACTGCATGGAGAGTTGTTTTGCCTGTCAGGAGGAGGAGTCTATGAAGAGAAAGCACCAAGAATGGGGACCCTGGCCATGCCCAGAGCTGGCTGCGCAGTCAGCCCAGGTGTTGGCAGGGTCTGACCATGGGCACTGGGTAGGGGGATGATCGAGGATGCCTGCTGTCCTCATACTCTAAGGCGACTGCCATATTGAGTCATTAAGATGCAGGTTCCATCTGTACCCATGAGGAGTGCTCACACAGGAAGTCACCCAGGGCAGCTGGCAACACCCAGAAGGAGGACAGTCCAACTGCTTCAAGGAAATCCTGGGATGGGCGGGGGTGGCACAGGAGTCTGGTGGCATGGAAGTCTGGACTAACAGCATGAGGGCAAGTGATGGGAGCTGGGGCCGGAATAGGGGAGACAGAGCAAAGAG